CTCTCTCTCTCTCTCTCTCTCTCTCTCTCTCTCTCTCTCTCTCTCTCTGGTTTATCAAGACAGGGTTTCTCTGTAGCTTTGGAGCTTGTCTTGGAACTAGCACTTGTAGATCAAACTAGCGTCGAACCTACAGAGATCTGCTTACCTCTGCATGCTGGAATTAAAGGAGTGTGCCAACATCAACTGGCTAACACATTCCTCTTGGTCTTCTGAATTTCGTTCCCTTGATTCTTCGTAAGCCTTGAGGGAGGTAATGTGATACATGTGTTCCACTGGGGAATGAGCTCTCTCCAAGTGCTTATTCTCTACTCCTTGAATTCGGAGTCTTGATGTGTACCATAAACTATTGCAGACAACTTCTCTGACAAATGTTGAGAACCACACTATTCCACTAGGGTAGGGATAAGCAAAGGCAGTTCCATATTATATCAAAGAACTAAAAGGTACAGTATATTTAATTTTGAGAGCTACGATATAGTTATAAGTTTTTAGCAAAGTACTTTAAGCCTGGCTTATACCCTGTGATGTAAATTCTCAATTAACACAGGGAAAGTTGAAACATACTCTTCAAGGAAACAAAAAAATGACTAAGAGTTTGATTATGAAAATGATATGATGTAAAAGATAATATATTACACATTATGAGCATTTATTAAGAGATTAAAAATAAGTGTTTTCAAATAGTAATGCAGAAATGCCATTCATTTTTCCAGATATGATGGAACATTTGTATATGAATTCAAATCAGCTGTGACTGCATACCCAAATGCACAAGATGAAGCCGGCCTAAATCCCAGCATAAATGTGGGTTGGCTAATGAAGTACCACCCCCAAATGAGGAAGTATTGACCATTAACAGTGTATGGGAAAGAGATTATATTTTCTTCAGGAATGCAGTTGCTAAAAGTTTATTTATACTCCGATAGATGGTCATACAACCCTGCACATGCAGACAGCACCTACAGGATTAAGGAGATTTTATGGTTTATAACTCATATGGGGCACATGAATCTGGGAAAGAAATGTAGTAAAGACTTAGGAGAGGAATTGGAGGAGCAGGAAGGACATTAAAGTACATTATATGCAGATATGAAATACTCCAGCAGTAATGAAAAGCAATCTCATTCTGAAGAAGCTGTACTTACAAAGAGAGTTTGGAAATGATAAATGATGAGATTTTTAAATATACAGCAGCTGGTGCATCTGAGAACACTTTTTATAAAGGGAGCTGGTGAATGAGGAGAGATTATAGTGAGATGTGACCAGAAAAGGTCTGCACAGGATAAAAATGTAGGAAGTTATGATATGATCAGTGAACTAACAACCAACCTCAGCTTTTATGTATCTATTTGGGTTAAGTGAGAAAGTGCTTCTCTTTTGCCTTTTGTATAGATCGTCCATTTTAATCTATAGAAACATTAGGCACATACTGCTTTAGTCATAGTGGTCTAACACAAGGGAATAGAGACAGCAGTGCCCAAGACTGAATAAAATTATATATGGTCCCATGGTAATATTATAAGATGATCATAATACAATTGACCAAATTATTGCAGTAAAAGTGTTGGGCTGCCTTGAATATTCTAGTCTTCTGACTAGTCGAGTCTGTAAGTTCTGATCTTCTACTATACCCACATGAAATTTCTACAGTTTCTCACTTCTCTAGCTTCACTTTGTTACCATGACAGCTCTCTAACCCACAGCAGCTTCTGGAAGAAGCAGTTTATCTATCTTACAGCTCTCAGGGTATATTTCGTCAAGAGGGAAGTCATGTGAGAAAATTAAGACAGGAATTTGAAGACAGGACTTCTTGCTATTCCAGGCAATGTCATTTCTAACTGGGGAATTATTAAGAACACAGCAGGAACCATAAAGTACAAGTACGTTGCTTTCTGTCTTACAGACTCTGGCTTGACTACCTCTCTTATACAACCCAAGACCACCTGTCTATGGATGTACTCAACCATAGACTGGAACCTCATGTATCAAGTAATAGGACAATTTCTCACAGACATTCCAACATGCTAATCCTATCTAGACAATTTTGCAATCAAAACTTTTCTCACATTGCACTATGCCACCTTACCTTGTTAAAGCAAATTTGGCTATATACTGTATAAAAGTCATTGTCTTGTTCAAAAATCCTTATATATCCTCTTTGCTTTCTTTCTTTCTTCTCTCTCTGTCATGGAGAAATTTTGATTTGAAGTCAGTTGTTCATGCTTACTCTAAAGCTCTAGTTGAAAGCTCTACGAAGCTATTGCAGAGTTTGATTTATTCCATCCTTGGAATTTTATGATAAATTGAAGAAAGTACTTTTCCCTTTGTCATGATGGTGGAATTCCCTTTTTAATTTTACCTGCTGTCCATCTGACTGGCTATTCCTGACAACTTGTGAAGATGGTTGTGTATAATACAAAAGAAGGGGAAAACTAGTAATGCCCACTATTTCCTAATGAGAAATGCAGCTGCCAAATATTTCTGAATCTTTTACTCAGAGACACTGCTGTATGAGAAGGTAAAAACAGTATGAGGATGAGCTTATTATTCTAAGTAGATGAAAAATTCCAAATCTAACAGGCATATATTCCAGGCAGACCAGCTCTCCTTCTAGAAATTATTTGGAAATTAAAATTAGAACTAAACATTAGTGGTGATTATTTCACAATAAAAGACAATATAGTTTGAATTTTAAGTGGCATATCATAAGAGTAACATGGGATTTAAAGCACAATGGTCTACCTCAAGTCTAGTTACAATTTCTACTTTAGGTTCATGCACTGCTTCTCTGAATCATTATGTATGTACAGCATCATCCTCTATCTGTATAGAAAGAAATGAGGTTGCATGAGGTAGGCATTGAGTTAGTGGGTAAAGGGAAAATTATCAGGTCAGAATTGCAAGACAGAAAAATGAAGAGAGTAGAGAGATGACGTATATAATAAATATTCTTCAAGAAGGATCACTGGTTGTCAGATCATGAATTCAGGTGGAGACTGAGAAACACTACGTCAATCTGTAAAACAGTGAATTATGCTTTCTGAATCTGTCCTCTGAAAACAGATTTTGGAAACTTTGCAAATATGAAAGTATTTGAAACACTTTTGATGCTTAAAGTGACTTAAATACGACACTGCTGATGAAAGCCGTGTGGCCAGTTACTGCAGCCCATCTTTTTCATTTTATCCAGAGTCGTGGAACCATTAGTCCAGGCACAGAGGGAGTAGGCCTATGAAATCCTCAAAATAGTTGGTTTTAGTTAGATAATACACACAGCCTGGGTTAGTTTGCAAACAGATGGTACCGTTAATCCAAAGACTTTGTTGTAATGTCACGGAAGGACAGAGATGAAAAATCACATGAGAGGGTTGTGAGAATAGAGAATTTGAGAGTTGTTGGTTCTGTACACATTTGTCTATAGTACTCTAATATCTGTATCATAAATATAGTAATAGTTATGAAGAATACTGTCTCAGTTTTTTGAATAAACCCACTGATACCTGTCTGTAATTTATATAAGGAAAAGAGGCAGTAGAAGCTGCATCCATTGATCCATTCCAGCACTGAAATTGCAGAGTTATTTTTGACTTTCCCTTCTAACTTTATACTTATTAAATGTCATAAATTAACACATAATCTCAAGTAAGCAACATGATCACTTATTTCTGATTTCTTCACATAAAACATGTACAAGTGATTCATTTAAGAAACAAGTTCTGACTCCATAAGAGAGTTATGAACCAGTGAGTCATACAAGTAAAGTAGTCCTTTACTTATTTTTTATGTTTAATATATCAAGGATACTACCTTTCACAACAATCTGGAGAAAATTGTGGACCTTGCTTTAGAAATATTTTATTTCATCAAAGACTATCCTTTACTGCAGACATTCATTAGATTTGATGCACATTTAGTACAGTCATCAAACTTTCTGTAGATAATAATATCAGAATGCTTGGAGTAAATAAGCAAAAGATTCTACTGTATATAGTATTTTGGCCAATGCAGCTTCATGTTATTACTAACTCATTACAAAATTTCTATTGATAAACTAAGATGAAGGCTTAGGGAAAACATTTATGTATTGTTGCTAGCTTTCATTAGTACTAACGAGAGCCACTGTGCTCCGGGGTAATGACAAGTACAACCGTGTGTGTCCTTGAGCCGTGTGTGAGAAACAGATGAGCCTAATCCCATAATCCATACTTTAATTCTCAATAGGAGAAGATGTGTCTCTCCTCACATTCACTCGTCCTGTCGATGACTGCAGCTTGGAAAGCAGCTGCTTAGATTATGGTCCTTTCTTAAGTTTCTAATGATGGAAATGGATTGGAGCCAACAAGGCTAATCTGATTTGTAAAAATAATTGAGGTCAGTATGTCCAGAGTAGAGAGTAGGAGACTTACTATTAACGACAAATGAAATTATAATGTTCTCCATCTGAATGACAAGCTCAGAAAAAGTCAGCAAAAACTCAAATAAAAATCAGACTGCATAATTTTAAGAATTAAAAGAGGAAATGCTTGCATTATAATGTCTACCTGACATTTCATGGTAGGCTTAGCAGAAGGAAAAACATCATTATACCATAAAATATCCTATCATATCACAATTACTTCTCAGTGAACATAATTAAAATCTTAATAGTCTAATTGCATAAGACTATGATACATACAAAATAAACAACTATGTTCTTCAGCAAAATAACACCCAGATATCCTTGGACAATATTTGAACTGTCATGAGGATTGTGAGTAAGTAATGTGACAGCAGTTGAAATACAATGTATGTCAAAGAGGAACACATAATTACAAAATAATTTCCAATACAGTTAATAAAATCCAGGTTTCTGCTTTTAAACACATGTCATCAAATCAGTAAGAGCCCAAGACTATTTACTCATTTCTCTATTCAACATATTTTATTGGATATTTCACTGTGTTGACCATAAATGATGGCATGATATAGGCAAAGATGTCTTTATTGATAAATATGAATAAATGGACAGGAGGCTAGAAAAAATACTCATTGTTATAGTATGATTAACAGGTTAGTATACATTTTAAAAGTTACTGCTTAGTTTCCTTTTATTCACATTTGCTGAAATGTCACACTGTAAGAACTGTGACTTTCTTTCCTGGACCTATATCCACCCTTCCTCTATCCCACCCATCTCATTCCCCCAAGCTCTCCTGAATCCTCTCCTTCTACCGTCTCTCTACCCATCTCCCCTTACATACATCCCCATCCCCCCACCCCCGTGCACCCAAGATTTGCCTGGAAATCTTGTCTACTTCCAATATCCAGGAGGATAACTATATGATTTTCTTCAGGTTCACCTTCTTATTTAGCTTCTCTAGAATTATGAATTATAGGCTCTAAGACCTTTAATTATGTATAGAATCCACTTATGAGTAGTACATACCATATTCCTCTTTTTGGGTCTGGGTTACCTCACTCAGTAAAGCGTTTTCTATTTCCATCCATTTGCATGCAAAATTTAAGATGTCATTGTTTTTTACCACTGAGTAAAATTCTAATGTGTTATGTTCCACACCTTCTTTAACCATTCTTCTATTGAGGGGCACCTAGGTTGTTTCCAGGTTCTGGCTATTACAAATAGTGCTGCTATGAACATAGTTGAACAAATGCTTTTGTAGTATGATAGGGCATCTCTTGGGAATATTCCCAAGAGTGGAATTGTTGGGTCCTGAGGGAGGTTGACTCCCAGTGTCCTGAGAAACCGCCACACTGATTTCCACAGTGGCTGCACAAGTTTGCATTTCCACCAACAATGGATGAGTGTTCCCCTCACTCCACATCCTCTCCAGCATAAGCTATCATTGGTGTTTTTGAGTTTAGCTATTCTGACAGGTGTAAGATGGTATCTCAAAGTTGTTTTGATTTGCATTTCCCTGATCGCTAAGTAGGTTGAGCTTGAGCTTAAGTGTCTTTTGGCCATTCAAACTTCTTCTGTTGAGACTTCTCCGTTCAGTTCAGTACCCCATTTTTTTTAAATCGGGTTAATTAGAGTTTTAGTTTCTAGTTTCTTTAGTTCTTTTTATATTTTGGAGATCAGACCTTTGTCTGATGAGAACTTGATGAAAATCTTCTCCTAATCAGTAGGTTGCCTTTTTGTCTTAATGACAGTGTCCTTTGCTTCACAGAAGCATCTCAGTTTCAGGAGGTCCCACTTATTCATTGTTGCTCTTATTGTCTGTACTACTAGTTTTCTACCTAGGAAGTGCTCTCCTGTGCCCATGTCTTGTAGACTACTTCCCACTTTCTCTTCTATCAGGTTCAGTGTGGTCAGATTAATGTTGAGGTCTTTAATCCATGGGAGCCATTTAAGGGTTTGCAAGAGACTTGTCTCTAGAAGAGTTCCCAGGTCCAAGGAGAGGTTCCCAGATTGTTCCTTGGGCAGCAGAGGAGAGGGTGCCTGTACTGGCCTTGTCCCATAGCCACACTGATAAATATCTTGCATATCACCATAGAATCTTCATCTGGCAATGGATGGAGATAGGGACAGAGACCCACATTGGAGCACTGGACTTAGCTCCCAAGGTCCAAATGAGGAGCAGAAGGAGGGAGAACATGAAGGAAGTCAGGATCACAAGAGGTGCGTCCACCCACTGAGACGGTGGGACTTATCTAATGGGAGCTCACCAAGGCCAGCTGGACTGGGAGTGATGGAGCATGTGATCAAAATGAACACTCTGAAAGTGGATGGCAATGAAGGCTGACTGAGAAGCCAAGGACAATGGCACTGGGCTTTTATTCTGCTGCATGATTGACTTTGTGGAAGCCTGGTTTGTTTGGATGCTCACCTTTATAGACCTGTATGGAGTGGGGAGGACCTTGGACTTTTCACTGGGCAGGGAACCCTGACTGCTCTTAAAACAATAGAAGGAGGGGGAGGTGGGGAGGGGGAGGGAAAAGGGAGGCAGGGAGGAGGTGGAAATTTTTAATTAATTAATTAAAAAAAAGAACTGTGACTTCCAAGACTTTCTTTCAGAATACTTAAGCTTCTCCATACTTCCCTCTATCCCTCTTCCACAGTACAAATTATCCGGTTCCTTGGTGTACATAGGTTTGCTTTGCCTAACTTTACATCAGTGTAATTAAAGTAAACTTGAGTCTGACTTTCTTCATATAACCTCATTATTTTTAATTACTACTGAA